GTAACAGCAGCCTTCAAAGGATCCTTCCTTAAATTCTATTTATACACATTGCTTATGAACACAAACTTTATTAAGGCTACTCTTTCAGTACAGATCAGTGGATCATGACTGTCAACAGCAGCGTATTCATATTCACAAGCAGCAGCTAACACACAAAGAAGCTGCTCAGCTGTATTTGCTATCTCCTTTTTCAGTATAAAGGGCAGAAATATAAGAGATCCATGCGCTGTCTCTCCATGATTGAGAAGAACATAAGCCTGCCCAGAGAAGAGGAGGACACTGCATATCAATGTGTCAGCATCAGCTGGCACATTTCGTTGGCATGCACTTTAAGCAGTCCTCAAGAAATCTCAGAATCCCCAATGATATGAAAATTAATAGAAAGGTGAATATTTAGAAGTAGCATCTTAGCATTCAAGGTTTGCCATAACCTAATATGTTGTAGAATGGTATGATGAAGCTAGCAAGAGACTAGAATCAAAATTATCTGCTACTGAGCTTTCCCCTGTGTAGCCTAAGCAGATTCTCTGAAGAGTGATTTAAATCCCCTGCATAACTTTATTAATTATAAGGAAGGTGATTTATTCAGATTGACTCCTCATAATGTAAAAGCATTTTTAACACATGAATCTATTCTGCTCTAATTGAATGAGTTCAGATGACACTGAAAAGTAATTTGTAATGTTTTTAAGCCAGTACTTTGACAGGATGAACAAACTCGCATACTGTATCTAGATGAGGTCTGTGTTATCTCCACTCCTCACATTGCTTCAAGGTCAAGATCACAAAGCTGAAGTTCTCAAAGTTAAGACAGTCTGTCATGTAACCTTATGGAAAAATAAGTTTTGATTTAGTTCATATATCCAAACTCATTATGCTAAACCAAAGTCTGTTTTGCAAGTTAAAAACAGTTTCAAATTAAGAAACATTGTGCTCAATAAGCCCAAAGTAGATTGCCACATAGCTGAAAATCAGGGCTGTGTTTTTAATGTGCATGCTATTGTTTCCCAGTAGAGCAAAAAAAGAAAAATTATATTTTAAAAGGCAGTTAGGGCTTATTCACTTGGGGATAATAGCTTGTAATAACTTCAGTTGCTCTTTTAAGTGCATATCCCATATCAAGATGCACTGTCAGGGATTTTGCTAAAGAAGAAGAAATCTAGTGAGCAATGAGGTATTACAAGCCAGAAGTCTGCATTCTCAGTTTTTCAGTAGTTCTACCCTCTGGACAAGTGAATGTAAAATCCATGTTGTCAGCCTCCCTCCATTCTTGGAGTGGGAGAACTGTAAGTACAAGCCATCTAGACTTGCAAGTAGCAGCATGCCATCTCCCAGTTTCCTATCAGGAATCCAGCTGTTATTCCAGATTAGGAAACAGGACAGAAGAATGGATTTTGCTTTTGTGGCATATAGATCTTCCCCCCCCCTCAGCTATTTATTTATGAAATTACCTTTCCTTCTGCAAGTAATCCTCCCAGGTCCCCAGAATTCATTAAGGAAGCCACTGCTTAGGTTAAACTTACTTAAGTTACTTAAGAGGATAAAAAAAAGCTAAGTGAAGGTATATGAACCTTCTCACCATCTTTACTAAAACTCCAGCTTTCAAACAAGAGTTATGCAGTTCCATCAAGTTTGACTGGAAGGGAATCTGGACAAGAAATGCAAAATTAGATTGGGCTTGCAGGGCACAGAAAAGTCAGAAAGGTGATCCAACTACTTTTACTTGACTATTTGAAGGAGTTTAGCATACCTTGACATAACTAAACAGAAGCTTGCAAAAAAAGAAAAAATAAAATTCCAAACACACTCAGCAATTTACAGCCACATGCCATTTGGGACAACTGAAAATAAGCTGAGCTCCTACCTGGTTTAACCCTAGGAGACAAGCAGTAGATAAGTAAAACCTGGGCTTGAAAAGGAAAAGAACATCTTGAAGCAGTAATTTAAGCACTAAGCAAGCCAAAGCTAAGGAGGCATGTGTTGGTGTTCCTTAGAGGCCCAGCCAAGATTCAGGCACATATCAGGTCAAAGAAATTCATAACTGCATTCCTTTCGATAGCCTTGTTTATAAACAGAGCTGGCACACTTCTCTACTTGGGAAAACTGGAGACTGTAGCAGTTCCCATTTGTAATGCTCTTCTAGGCATAATTCCACCTCAGAGAGACTATGGTGACTGTGAGCAAAGACCATGAGGAAGAATCCACAAAACCAGCAAGAACATTTTTCTAGTGCTTAACTATAGCACAGGAGTTTCTTGCACAGTAGAAATACATAGCAGCTACCTAGGCTAACCAAAGCCATTTTAAATATCTGCAGCTGTGCCCTCTTCCTGGCCATACTTCACCCTAACCAGGGATTGGTCTGGCAGTCAAGTCACTTCACTTAGAAGCCTTTTAATGAGCATCTGCCACGGGATATTAATTATACAAGCTTTCTTGTTAAATCTTAACTGAAGCCGGCCAAGCCTTTCAGTAAACTGTAACAGGTAAGAAGCAATGCTATGAAGCTCTGTGTGGAAAATGCCAAGCAGCCTCTGTGCACCCAGCAGATGGTGCTATGAGGTTCTATGCTTCACTGATGCAGTTCAGGTTTCACGTTTAGCTCACACTTTGTCATGTCAGACACTTCTGTATCATACAATCACATCATTTTTCAAACAACTTGGGCTAAGAAAACTTTTACAATGCACAAGCATTCCAAGATGTAGCAAACCAGATCTCTGCAGCAGATAGTTTTCTAGAAGTCTTCAAGAAGTTCAGGTCTGAAGCAGACAGGATACAGAAATAAGCTGGAATCACTAGTCATTTGTGTCTATGTGCATTTAGGCCAAGTACTACTGCTTTTCTAGCCACCTTAGGCAGGAATAAGAGGTTACAGCTAAAGCAAGCTCTACTGTAGCAAAGTAACAAATACTGATTATTTCCAACCTTAAAATTATACATCTAAACAAATCTGAAATCCCATTAAGTCTCAAAGGGCCCATTACTTGGGCCACTCACACCTGTGTGCTTAAATAGGCCCCCATGTTTTGCTCAGGCCAAAGTCCCATATTAATCTCCTTTTCACAGGGTCCTTGCACCCACTCCATGACAATATAGTTCTGCTATCTATCCAACAGGATCTGCTTCCCAGCCTCCTCTACAAACCTCTTAACACACTGTCTTCTCTTCTAGGGATCCCTCACAACTCTGCCATGCTGTCCTTATTTGGAAAGTGCAGGATTTGATGCAGTGTTTTCAGTGCAGAACTCGAGATAATTGATTCTCAAGAAAATAGCCACAAATGAAATAGGACAACTACAGACCTGTTCACTTTCTGAAGATAGTTCATGATGTCATCAGCTTTTCTCCTGTTCAAATAAGCTTTTTCTTTACATTGTAAGAAACTAGTGTAACCTCAGTCCAGGAGCTAGATTTTTAAAAGTTTTCATGCTTTTTAAATTGGTGAGGTTTTTTTTTTTTATACCTATCAACAGCCAAGGAATTGTCTTTTTGTGTAAGTTACCCTATACAGAGAAGTCTGAGGTGTCAATGCAGAAACTGAGGAAGCTGCTTTAATAAAGCATGTTGCCTGCTAGGACTAGTTACTCTGCATAACTAGTTGATCTCAGCATACAGATGACCTTCAAATACTCAGGTATACCAGTCTTGTCCTATGTACAGACTACGTGTTGTAGCAGAGTAGTTCCATCACTGAAAGGTGAGACCTGCAGCCCACTGCCCAGTGTTTGTTTGTGCAGATGCTTGGTATTAGCAAGTACTGACATGGGCATCTGACATGGGCCTCAAGCCATATCCCAGCTGCAAGTACAAGTGCAAATACCAGATTTTCTACAGCCATCAACTTCCATGATAAATCAAACAGAACAGAAGGCAGAGAAGCTTTAGAAGCTTCACAGCAGCCTCCTCCCTGCCTCAACAGCCATTCACTATTAAGACCCCAGATCAAACAACAGTGAAAACCGGATAGACAAGACATTCCTGCCTTCTGCTCCCAAAAGGAGACAGCATCACATGCTCCTCACCTATTTGTCAGGCTACAGGACTGCACCATGCTCTCAGGCAGTTCTTAGAGCAAAGCATCACAACTTGAAATACTTACCTAGCTTAGCCTGCTAGTGCTGGTTGGGGAACTCGGAAACCGTGAAACAAATCCAGTTCAGATTAGCACACGTTTAAGAGGGTTTGGTTTTTGGCATAATACCACAAGTGTTAGAATTGAATATTTCCAAAAGATAGTTGATGTGGATGTCAGTGAGTAGTTGCAGTGAGTGATGCTCTTCTCTCCCCACTTATGCTTACAGATTCCACCCACTCCCTTGCAGTATCATCAGTTGTGCTACAATGTGATGACCTGGCTAACAGAGCCCAGATGTAGTATTTTCTGACCTTGTTTTCTCTCAGGAGAACAGGATTTAGCAACATGCATTTCAAGCCAACAAGCTGTTATGGAGCTAGAGACTAAGGAATAAAAATTTGTATTCCCAGGAAGTAAAATCTGTGTTGCTATGTTGCTCACCTGCCTCTATAGCCATAGAAGAGCTCCTCCAAGTTACCTCAAGTTACTTCTACTACCAAATCATTATTTAATCCTTAAAGATCAAGAGCCAAACTCTAGAGCATGATTATTTATTGTCCTTTTTAGCAAGTACAAAGGCAGCTTTACAAAAAGATGGCCAGTAGTCATTACCAGTGAATTTTGTCCCAACCTAATTCACTGTTAATTGAAACCTGCAGGCAGTCATAAACCGTAAGAGACAAACTACCAAATCGCTCAGCAAGGTAGGTACCTCACTACAGCTTGAACACAGTTCAGTGTAACCACATAATCTGTCACTTTGACTGCTTACTTCCAGAACATACCCAGGAATAAGAACCTTAAACTTGGCTGGCAGTTCTGCAACTAATGTGGTTGCTTAAGAGCAGCAGTTGACAAACTGTTCCTCCTGCTTTACAGGAAAAGCAGATGAATACAGCAAACCACAACTTCAAAGTGATACAGAGTGGACAAAGATGCAGTTCAGGACTGCTGGCCAGATCAGGAATAGTCTGTGTCATTTTAAGTAAGCATTTAAAGAATTTTTTTGTATACCATGTTCTTTGTCAAGTGGAACTGCATGCTTCCCTCTCCCCCACCAAAGCAGTGGAGTGATGGTGGAAGAGGGGAGCCATAGAAAACTTGGTGATTGGTGACATTTAGTAAGAAAATTCAGAGTTCTGATCCATAAGCCAGAAGGCAAGGTGTCTAAGTTAGTCTTTCAGCTGGGATACTTCATAGAGGTATGCACCAAGCATCTTCACCCCCTGGATGTAGTTGTACCTGGAAAGAAGACAGCCACCATTAGCATAGTCTTATTTTAAGCTGTATTTCTACCAGCTGTGCTTTTTGCAGTATCGGTTCTATGCATGCAACTGACACTACAGGCATTACTCTTGGAGGCAATAGGCACCACTCCCAATCTCCCTGCATCTTCCCTGGCAATAAAAAAATGCCACCTTTGGTGTAGGGGGCAGCCAAGCTTGGAGATCAAAGTATAAAAACTGAAAAAGTATAAAAACTTATATGCTTGAAACCAGAAGCAGTAGCAAGATCAAGATGCAGCTACAGACTAGTTACCCATCCAGTCATTCTCTGCTAGGGAGAAATGGCACTTTGCCTTCCAGAAAACTACAGAAAAGCAAAAGCTCAATTCTTCTTGGTTATTTTCATAAAATGTGCCAAGACTCACAGTAAACTCAGCTTGGCACAGGGATAAATATTCTCTTACCTATTTAGCTTCTCATTTTGAGAGTGGGCACCATCATCTGCAGCTCCAACAGGAAGCAGCATGACATTCTTGCCAGTTGCTTCTTGAAAAGTAAGGGTAACAGGAATGCTTCCTCCCTCCCTCGTCAGGTCTGGTTCAACTCCAAAAACTAGAAAGAAGTGATACTCTAGTCAGTTTAGAGGCGTATTTGTTTTTCCAACAAATCCTTACTTAAGCCATCAAGTTCCAATCAGATCTGTACCAGGTGCTGGCTAAATCCTGCTCCATTTTAATCAGCCAGCCTGCACAGGCCACAGAGCTGTGGAGCTTCCTCCCTCTAGATGTAGTGCTGGAGTATTGGCACTTTCAGAGCTCAGTTCAAACAGTTACACAAATAATGCTTCATCTGAAAGCCTGTTTGTACTCCAACACAAGTTATATTTGCTCTAATTGCCCTAGTATAACTGATTAAGAGGCATGCTAGGATGACTAAGCTTTGAGGGCTTTGGTAAAGCAAGGGACCTGAACTGACAGTCTCATACTTATGCAAAAGCAAATCAATGCCAATGGACTTGTTCCAGTGTAGTAGGAGTGAGCCTGATAGTTTCTTTCCTTTCTGTATTTCAGACTTGAGTTTAAGGATTGCACATGACATGCATTGTCATTTAGTGAGCATAATGTATTAGATAAGTGCAAAACACTAAATATTCTGCAAACATGACCTCAGTATTTCTTGAGGTGCTAGACAAGAGCATTCTAGTCCTCCCAAACCCAAGTGGAAAACCCACTGACCTGTCTTCATAGCCCTCCTGCCAGCCAGGTAGTGCGGATGATTGAAGTCTGACACCCAGGGTTTTCCACCATGGCCTAAGTATACTTTGAATTTGTTTGGGCTCTGCAGCTCTGCAAACTTTTTGCTCACGTAGTCTTCAACCTATAAGAAAGATTGAATGATCTCATCTACTGTTAGCACTTGTATGACCACTGGTAAAGACTAAATTAAAAGCATCTTAGGGACTTGCAGGTCACTACTACTGTGCAGCAATACTTTTTCCTTTTACTATTTGTCCTGGTTTGCTGGGGCAGAATTTGAAAGTCAGTTTTCTATTCAGTAAAGCTGCAATCCTGCAAGAATTACAATCTATTTCATGGGAACAAAATGAGAAGATGCTTTGTTTTACTTTTTGGCTAGCACTGGTATGTGATAATCAAGGTCTTTAACAGTCTTGAGAAACAGGTGCAGAGGCCGGAGAAAGCAGAAACCCAGGGCTGTTGACCCCAAGCTGACACCAGTCTGGCCAATGAAAATTACTCCATACCATAAGCATCACATTGATAAGTCTGCTGGGAACAGCCTTACTTTGCCTGCCACTCCAAGATAGCCTCATCTGACATTCCACTCCCAAGGCCTATTTTCCCCCTATATTGGCCAAGTAAAACTCTATTTTATATTTTATATTTTATATTTAATACTGTTATTAATTTTTATTATTATTATTTTATTAAATCTGTT